GTTCAATAATTTAAAATGCAACTTACTGTGTTGAATTATGTGGTGCAGCATTGCTATGGGCTGTATATATACCGAAGCCAAAAATTATCCGCGAGAACCAGCTGCTCATGTTGCAATAAGTGAGATCCTCTCTGTTTTCAAAATCAAGTGCTTATTTGTTTGTTTTGATTTTCAAGTTAAAGATAAAGATATTTCTTTCTGTGCTGAGTCTGTAAAAATCTATGATATCTCCATCTGAAAGATTCCTTAATGTGTCAACTATTTGCTTTTTATGTGTTATCTGCCACTTATTAGACTCCATCTTTTTATACTTTGCTTAGGAACGGTACGACGGTTTCTTGAGAAACAGAAAGATAAAATAGAGGCAGTTGTTTTCTGTACAACTACGTCATCCGATACAGAGATATATAAAAGGTATACTTTGTACATTGTTTTCTGCTATATACTTGAGGGTGTGCATGAATTTCTACTGTATCTTAATTTTGCAGATTGCTTCCTCTCTACTTCCCTCGGGATAATCATGAGGAGGAAATTGCCCGTTTAAAACTTCCTGCAGATGTTGGGGATGAGAATGGAGAGACAACTACTGCCGAGCGTAAAATAAGAATAAAACCGTTGCCTAATGCAAAAGTTTCTAGTCCAAGGACCCCCGAAGCCTCTGTTGATCTGTCTGCCAGTAATATTGGTTTGTCGAGAAGGTTAGTGACGGATTTAAGCAGTTCACCACACCATATATCATATGAACAGTGGGTTTGCAGGATATTCAGTTGAAGTGTTAATGTTGGTCAGAACTCAGATATGGTTTCATTGCTCATATCTCCCTCCAACTTTTTGAAATCTATGTGTGTGATAGTAGGATGAAATTGACAAAAGAAATTTTTATTTACGTAAAGAATAGCTCATTGTGGCCCCAAGCTTTTGCGCTGTCTTTTTATGATATCATTACCTTTCAACTTTTTATTTGAAACAAAGTAATTAACCCTCATACTTTACAGATAAATCATAAACCTAAATCTATGACTGAAGTCTGAACTTTCCAGGAATGAAGATGCTAAATCAAATGACATGTTTTTCGATGATTGATAGAGACTTGGGTAATAAGCAGAAAGGGCTTTCTGTATCCAAGCATTATTTAGGTGGGATTAAGCAGTTTTGTAGTTGAGCACAGTGCTGCATTCTCTGAGTTATAATTGGATGAACTTTTCCACCAATATTTTACTAGAAAAGTAGCTTGCATTCCACTTGATTAACTGCTTTGATGGTGGAAGTTCTCTCTCTTGGCCTGGAGCAAGAAATGAAGGCTTATGCTTAAACAGATAAAGATATCTCGTTATATATCTTCTCTGAATATCTTAAAACAGCAAGAAATATTATTTGCGCAGCATATGCCTTTTATATATATATATCAGTAAGCCCGACTAACGAAGCTTTCTCAAGCAGGAGTTCGTCCTACTTGGGTTTATTTTTGGATCCTGCTTTTATGTCCCTGATCAAAGACCCAGACCAGCGACGCAGAGAACAATGGGAAAAAACAGCTCAAGCGCAAAGTAGTTGGAACTGCTTTAAAATGCTTGGATATGGTGACCTTGGGGGACCTCCTTTATCAGCTGCAGAAGAATATTCCCTTCATTCTAGATATCTTGCAAAAGCAAATTCTCTTAATCTTTCAGAAATTGCAGAAATGAAAATCGTGTAAGCAGATTTTCTTTAGTCCATGATTTTGTCTAATAAATGAGAATACCTATATCCAACTGTTTGGAGCCTCAGATATGCATTTGAATTGAGTGAAAGTAGGACGAGATCTGCCTTTACCCGAATGCATCCAAAGGTTTTGTGATATTAATATGACTAATAGCATGTATGACCAAGCTTCTAAAATCAACTTATTTTGAAAAGTGCTTTTCAAAAAAGTAATTTTGGTGATAAGCAATTTATGTTTGGCTAATTAATCTGAAAAGCACTTTTGAGCAGTAATTAGTTTTTGGCCAAGCTTTTAAAAACTGCTTCTAAGTGTATTTTTCTCAAAAGTGCTTATCAGAAAAGTGTGTTTTTGGAGAGAAGCTACTTTTTTCTGCTTCTCAAAAACTGCTTCTGCTTCCCCTCAAAAACACTTTTTTCCTTCTAAAAGCTTGGCCAAACACCTCAATTTTTGGAAAAAAGCACTTTTGGCCCCAAAAAACGCTTGGCCAAACAGGCTATAATTTAGCTACAAAAAAAGGTTATCATGAGTAATAGATAGCTGAAGTATTATTAACATATCGATGGTAAGTGTTTCCTGGTATATGTTAAACTTAAGTTGCTCATTGACTATGTTTTCAGTTACCGAGGAGGGGTTGATAGTGAGGGTCGTCCAGTTATGGTAGTTGTGGGAGCACATTTCCTGCTAAGATGCCTTGATCTTGAGAGATTTATTCTATACGTTGTAAAGGTAGTGATAATTACTTCTATCCATAGCAATTGTGTGATTCAATAATTAGTTTTGCTTCAAAAAATTTGCATGATTTTGGCAGTAAATAGTTATTCTACTTGTCACATGTCAGGAATTCGAGCCTTTGATTCAGAAGCCTTACTCTATCGTGTATTTTCATTCTGCAGCTTCTTTACAATTGTAAGTATGATCTTCTGGCCCATATATTCACTGGCTCATGTCCGTGTGATTAGTATAAGTGAAACAATCAATAATTTAGGCCGTTAATTAGATCGCAAATGTGCATGCATTGCCGGACATCAATATTTTCCTTTTTCTTGTCATTTTGCTTTTAGGATCCATTTCTACAGCTCTCCGTGTTAGTTTGGTTTGGCGCTGAAGATCGAAGCGTAAAACTTAGTTGTTGTTTTTTTCCTTTTTTTTTTTCTTTCTCTTACTTCAATCTCTGAGCTCCATGCGGTTGATTCATTGAAAGAATCCTTTTCTAAAGCTCATTAATAAAGTTTTTGATCTGTTTTTCTTCGGCAATTTGGTTGTCTTTGACCAAAATCAGAGGGAAAGGTGACATTGAAACTGTGTTTCTCACTTTGATGGTGCTAAGCTTTTGCATTGTACTCCAAATTTGGCAATTCTTTTTCTGTTAAATTGTTGATTCCGCATTTTGTTGTTTTGTATCAAAACAGGCAACCTGATCTGGGATGGATGAAGAGATTACAACAAATACTTGGACGGAAACACCAGTGTAACCTTCATGTATGAATGGTTTCACCCTTTTTCTCTTGTGTTTTCCATGGTTCCCCGAAGCCGGACCTTACTCCCGGGTTTTTTGTTATTGCTAAATCTCGTTTTTTTTTGGGAGCAGGCAATATATGTTCTTCACCCTACCTTTGGACTGAAGACTGCAACTTTTGCTTTGCAACTCTTTGTCGATAATGTGGTACTTATATGCTTAGGACCTTTTATCTTTTTTCCTTTGACTAATCCCATTATTACTGGTATATAAACTCAAACTTTCATTTTCTCTGAAAGCATGTCACTGGTGATTTATTCTGCAGGTGTGGAAAAAAGTAGTATATCTTGATCGTCTTCTACAGCTATTCCGTCATGTTCCTCGTGAACAACTAACCATTCCAGATTTTGTGTTCCAGTTAAGTTATCATGCTTCTATCGCTCATTTTTTTCACATCAAAATGAACAAGGATTGAGTGCAACATGCCATTACAGACGTTGTCCGTAGTTTTTTGCTCAATTGTGGTGGGGGTGGGGTGGGGATAATAGTTACTACTTGCCTATCTTGGATTAGGTTTGCCATTGTCTCAGGCAGATGGGGTTTCTTGATATGGAGCACCCCCCCCCCCCCCC